CCCCACAATGTGTTTAGGCAAAGTTATAGGAGAAAAGGTTCCATCTCTACTTTTTCTACAAAGTACAGAAGCACTGGTTCAATAAGCAGTAGACAAAGTAACTTACCATTTGACTTCAAAACTTTATGGACTCTGGATGAGGGTTCTGAAAAAGAAAACATGTTTAAGCACTCCAGCATCCCAAAGAAAGTTATGGGCATCTTGGCCAACTTTTTATAGCACGGACACCAAAATTTTAACTTCTCAGCCCATGCGGTGAAGCCAGATTTTCATTTCTTAATCACCCAATTTCTTCACCAAAAAAAAAAAAAACCAAAAAAACTTATTTGATGAAGTGTCAAACCTACAGCTGTTACTGAAAAAACACAGTTGTTTCTTAATGCAATAGCAGCTGCCCTCCATAAGGACAGGTAAATTTTTATCTCATGTTAAGAGTCCTGCTTTCAAAAAACTTGGTCATCTCTGCTATTGCTCAAAGTTGCTGGAGGTTTGCTATCAGAAACATCTATGAGGTACCAACAGCTTAGCAGGGCTTTAAAAGTGTGAGCCGCTGAACGTTGCATAGAAGGACATTTGATCAGTATTTTTTAGTATTCCTTTCACAGGCAAAGCAGCATCAATGCAATCCTTTACCTTAGAAACAAAGGAAGATACCTGAAAATTACTTAAACTTGATTGTTTTTCAGATACAAATGCTGCTGGATGATAAATCACTACATTAGTACTCTCATTAACCTTAAGTCATTCCCAATACACAGTGTTACACACTGCAAATTGGAAAGGTCTTTAAGTAGCTGAAAGGGGGAACACGGTGACTGCAATATGAAGTCACCCAACTACACAGACATCGGTAGTGGCTTCAAGAGGAAAGTAACTGTAATTATGGATGTACGTTTGGGCTAGGAGGAAAAAGTGCCAAAGTCAGCACAACCACCTCTCAAATTCTATTATCCGTAAGGCAGGCATTATGCTAAGTAAAGACAGTAACCATGTTTTGAAATAATAAGCCTATCATAATCAGGATGGAACTACTTCTGAGACAGTAATTATTTCAGGGAGGGGGGAGCAGATATACCAGATTTAAATAATATGACTAGCTTTCCTGCATATGCATTCTTTTATCCATTAGAAAGTACCAACTGTTGTTTATGCATCCACCATTAGGAATGTATATCAATGAAATTAAATGCAAACAGTGGATAAAAAAATGAAATCACACGAACAACAAATGGTTAATAAGATGCTCCACCCGTATCTGAGAGATACTGTGCCATGTTAAATCTGTGTGGAATGCAGGTTAAAGAAAATTCCATGTGCCCAGCCTCATCCAACCCTAAAACAACCCTGCTTGTTTTTCCTCTTGTTATCTCGGTGGTAAAGGAGTTTATTTACCTGACTTCCTTCTCATTCTGTGAGGAGCAGTGCCTTCTTTAGGCTGGTATGATGATTTTGTTTCTCCCTCAGGGCTATAGTGGAAGCCTGGGTGATCTGTGGAACAAACAGAGGCACAAGGCATAAGAAAGTGACAAGAGCGTCATTCCACATGCCTCAGCAGCTCTCTTTGGAGGCAGTGCTGTTATCCCTTTCTGACTGGCAAAGTGGCACTTCATCAGAGCCTGAAGCAACACCAGCAAGATATGCTGCTGTAGGGCAGCTGTAAACCACCTAGCCATGGAAACACTTTGCCCATTTAGTTGTACCTTGCTCCAGATGGCTAACCCAGCAACATTTATGCATGATCTTTGTGTGTGTTTGCCAGTTTCTCAGTCAGAGCCTTCCTGACCAATTCTGTGTAAGTAAATGTGTAGTAAGTATGTAAGTAAATAACTACGTAAGTAAATAACAAGCCTGCTCTACTCCACGACTTCCTCAGCTTTTAAATTGCAGGAC